AAAGTGAATTTACTCTGTAAATCTTCACCCAAATCCTAATTAAAAAAAAAAAAAAAAGTTAAGGACAAGCAAATGTATGGAAATCAGAGTTTATTAGTGGTTACCAGGGGCAAGAGGGGATGGAAGAGTTATGCTTATGGAGCAGAGTTTTTGTTTACAGTGATGGAAAATCACATTGACTAAGGGTAGGGTTACACAGCCAGTTAATGTAATTGCTGTCAGTAAGTTGTAAAAAGTTAAATTGGAAAAAGTTGTGTGATAGAGATATTTACAACAATGGCTGAAAAAAGTAGCTGCTTACATACAACCAAACACCTCATAGGATTTGGTCCTTGGTTTGGAGGTTTAGGATAATGGTTTCATGAGACATTGCGGTTAATTACTCTAATATTTACAACAATGGCTGAAAAAAGTAGCTGCTTACATACAGCCGAACACCTCATAGGATTTGGTCCTTGGTTTGGAGGTTTAGGATAATGGTTTCATGAGACATTGCGGTTAATTACTCTAATATATCTAGTGCTTCTGTTCTGTCTCCTAATTCATTGGGTATTTCCTGGGGTCTAAAAAGCTTGTAAGTGGCCTTCCAAGGTTCACAATTTATCATCAGAAGAGGAAATGGAATATGTGGCTAACTGCCTCCATGAACAGCTGTTCTCTTTACCATGAGACCAGAATTTGATAGTGCCCAACTACCATTACTAAACATTTTAATCAAAGATTCTAAAGAAAAGTCCTAATTCAAAGGAGGAAGATGCAAATAAGAATTTCACATTCTAAGGGAATCTAGCCTTCTGGAGCCGTGGAAACTGGATTACCTTGAAACTATGTTACCTTGAGATAATCTTTACACCATAAACCAAAAATACCCCTGAAGTCATCTTCAAACCAAATATTTTTTTCTTAAATAGTAGAGAATGTCTACCTTGAGTATTGTGCTCTTTTAAGATCTGCCTATAGGGGATTGAATTGACAGCAGAAACTTGAAAGATAGAAACCTTCGAGAACACTGAGTTTATGTTAATGGGGGAGGACATCTAGGAAAAGGAGGGTGAGATGGTTGCACATCTTCAAGAATGTGATCACTGTCACTTAATTGTACATGTAGAAATTGTTAAATTGGTGTATGTTTGATCATGTATTCTCATCAACAACAAAAAAATTATTTAAAAACTATTTCATGGAATTATGAAAATGAAAAATGTTGAAATTATTTTTGTTATATTTTACACAATAAAAAAAATGTTATTTTTACTCATGCATAAGAAGGCTGTTTGGAGAAGTGGTCGATAGCATGGGCTCAAACAGACCTTGCATCCCATTCTGCCTCCACTATCAAACTACCTGAGTAACCATGGGTAATTCTCCTTATAGGTGATCTGGGAATAATGATTCCATTTTTGTGAGGATTAAATTAAATACATATATAAATAGTGATCATGTAAGCATTCAGTAACTGATGGGGTTGGGTTGTTTAGTAAATGATTCTGGGATGATTGATTAATTTGCATACTAAAACCAAAATCCATTGCCATCAAGTTGAGTCTGACTCATAATGACCCTGTAGGACAGAATAGAGCTGGCCCATAAGTCTTCCAAGGCTCCTCATTAATGTGTGTTGTTGTTGTTTCATTCTTCTCATCCACTAAATTCAGTTTCATGTAAGGAAGTAGTATACCAAATGAAACAGTAAGTAAACATATGTATTAGGTTAAGAACATTAAAAACAAAATATGTAAAGGGAAGTCATAGAAAAAAATGCCATTAAGGAATCCTGTCAACAGCCCATAGTAGCTAATTTGAAGGGCTTCTCAGTACACTAAAACTAAAAATACCAAACTCACTGTCGTCGAGTCGGATCTGACTCATAGCACCCCTCCTTGGGTTTCGTGGCAGTATCACTACTGAAGTAGATTGCCCAACCTTCCTTCTAAGAAGTGGCTGGTAGGTTTGAACCACCAGCCTTCTGGTTAGCAGTCAAATGCCTTAAACACTAGGATGGGGTAATTTGATCATTTAGAAAAAAAAAGAAGAATGACTTACATGGATTGAAACACATCGAATCTGTTAAAAAGCTGTAAAGTGATTTTCAGAAAAAACTCATTTGTTACTATTAGAAATTGCTAAAGTAGCAATTCATTGCTCTAAAAATTGGTAAATAAATGGAAGAAAATCAAGCATTTTTCTGCCTTTGCTGTGCAAACTGTTTGAGTAGTCCAGGAGTTTAGAGGAAGGTTTGTTTGGTTTTAATAAAAGAATGATAGTGAATTTATGTAGAAAGAAGATAGAGATCTGCCATTGAGTTGAGTCCTACTCATGGCAACCTTGTGTACAGCACATGAATGTTGCCCAGTCCTGCATCCTCACAGTTGCCAGCATGTTCCTTGTCCATTGTTTTGGGTATAGTGCCAGTCCATCTCATTGAGGGTCTCCCTCATCCTCTCTGGCTGACTCTCTGCCTCACCAAACATGATGTCGATTCTCCTGATGACATGTCCAAAGCAAGTGATCCAGTTTTCTGTTGTCATCCATCAGGTTTTCATTGGCTAATTTTAGGGAATGGATCATTAGGCCTTCCCTCTTAGTCTAGAGGCTCCACTGAAAGCTGTCCACCACGGGTGACCCTGCTGGTATTTGATTGAAATACTGGTGGCATAGTTTCCAGCATCAGAGCAACATGCAAGACACCACAGTACAACAGACTGACAGATGAGTGGCAGGGAATGAATATACATATCATTAATAAAAACTGAAGACAAATAGGGAAATAAGCAATGTGTAACGAAAGGCCAATTTTTAAATAATAAAGGGATTTTTCAAATCAGTCAGAAAAAGAATGAAGAGAAAAATGGGCAACCAATCAGTTTCTTTTTCATTTTTGTGTCCTCAGCATTTATTACATTCCCTGGTAAAAGTTGGCATCCTTTTTCTACATCTTTTCACTGGTATTAATTTTATTTTCGTGTATATTTGTGCAGCTTTCTAATTTGTGTAAGTTTCACACTCTTTTTTTATTTCAAAAATATATTGTAAAACATTTCAAGCAGAGAAAAAGACCAGTACAATAAACCCCCATATGCCCATAACCTAGTTTCAAAAACTATCCGCTAATGGTTAATCTTCTTTCTTTTATTTTGCATTGTTTCCTCACCACCACCACCACCCCCCCCACCGGTAACCAACAAATAAAGTTGCCTTCCATCTAGAAAACCTTTCCTTGACTTTTTACAATAATGAACTAATACAGTATTTGTCCTGTGATTGACTTATTTCAGCCAGCATGTCCTCCAAGTTCATCCACGTTATGTGGTGTTTTGCAGATTCTACATTATTCTTTAATATTGCATATTACTCCATTGTATGTATGTACTATAGTTTGGTTATCCATTCTTCTGTTGATAGGCATGTCAGTGTTTCCATCTTTTTGCTATTGTAAATAGTGCTGCTGTGAACATGGGTGTGCATGTATATGTTCTTGTCCTGGCTCTCACTTCTTTATGATACATACCTAGTAATGGGATTACTGGATCAAATGGTATTTCTAATTCCAACTTTTTAAGGAATGACCATACTGCTTTCCATAGTGGTTGTATCATTTTATAGTCCCACCAACAGTGTATGAGAGTGCCAATCTCTCCACACCCTGGCCAGCATTTGTTATTTACTGTCTTGTTGAACTTTGCTATTAGTGCTGGGGCCAGGTGGTATCTCGTTGTTTTGATTTGCATTTCTCCATTCATGTCTTCTGCTCATTTTTAAATTGGATTGTCTTTTTGTTGTTGAGGTGTTGGAGTTTTCTATCAATTTTAGAAATAAGTCCTTTATATATATAATAATAATTATTATTATTATTATTTTAAATCCCTTCAGCCGTGTTAAACCTGTCTTTTAATGACCCATCTACTTTCCCCACCTTCACTTCCCCTCCCATCCCTGGTAACCAACAAAGAAAATTTCCTTCCCTGTGTAAACCTTTCCTTGAGTTTTTACAGTAGTGGGCTCATACAATATATGTCCTTCTGTGACTGACTTATTTCACTCAGTATAATTCCTCCAAGTTCATCAATGTTTCAAGGTGATTCACTGATTCTTCATTATTCTTTAATGTTGCATAGCATTCCATTGTTTGTATGTACCATAATTTGGTTATCCATTCATCTTCTAATAGGCACTTAGGTTGTTTCCATCTCTCTACTATTGTAAATAACACTGTGATGGACATGGGTATGCATGTATCTATTCGTGTCTTGAATCTCATCTCTTTAGGATATGTTCATAGTAATGGGATTGCTGGATCGAATGGTATTTCTATATCCAATTTTTTAAGGAAGCACCGTACCATTTTCCAGTGGTTATTTCATTTTACAGTTCCAGAAGCAGTGTATGAGAGTTCCAATCTTTCTTTACCCTTGCCACCATTTGTTATTTTCTGTGTTGTGTAAGTTTTAGAAGTTATAACAATATTAGAATTTAATGCTAAAGAGAACTTGAAAGAATGTCTGATTAATATCCTTTTACTGGGCTATGACATGGGTAGAATAGCTGGTAAGTACAGTTTTTCATTTAAAGTAACTTTTGTGTAAACATTCTTAAGAAATGTACCTGATGATTTTAAACTTCTGTTTTCCCTAAAATAGTTTCTAAAAGCTCAGAGCTCTTTGGTTTTATTTACTAGGTTTCATGTATCTTAATTTACTTTTCTTTCAGTATTTCATAATTTAGAATTGAATATTTCAGATTCAAACGTTTACTCATAATAGTCTGTAATACTTTTTTTTTAAAGGCTGAATCATGTCAGGGAGATTTGAGTACATTGGCCAGTGTGGTTACATCATTAGCGAATCTTGGAAAAACTAAAGAGCTTTCTCAAAATAGTAATGAAATGTCTGTGATTGAAAGCTTAAGTAATGGTGATACCTCCTCATGTGAGTTTCATCAAGAAATGCAAACAAACGGTGATGTTTCAAGGTAAAGTCTGTTTTGGTACAAAGGGTCCGTTGCTAAAGTGTCCTTTAGCAATTCTTAAAATACTTTTATGTTGAATACTATTTATAGAAGTTTCAAAAAGCAACTATTTCTATAAAATTTAAGGCTTAGTAATTTTAACAAGAAAAACTTGTATTCAATGTAAAATTGTTGTTTGACAGGTTACATTCTAAATAACCAGAACAATAAGTGAGTGTTGCAAATATTAGAAACATAGTCTTAAAAATTTAGGATTTTTTCTACTCTAAAGTTGATAATTTGAGTCTGATATTGCAAATATTTTAGTAACCAGATTTTAACATTTGTGTATGTAAAGTGAAACATTTTTCTTACCCCATCCCACCCTCAATTTCTAGTGATGAAAATAAATTTAGAAGACTTGGCTGAATCAGCTATAATTTTAAGTTACTTTTTAGGGAACTAGTATCAGAATTGTTTTTTTCAGTCTGTCAGTATTATGTATGATATAGAAACCACATTCCTTCTGATTTTTCTCCACGTTTCTGTTTATCATTTAACATGTTGCAGAAACTGCATTTAAGAGTTAAGTACTTCCTTGACCATAAGATTTTAAAAGACTCCAGAAGACATCTCACTGAAAAATATGGGGAGCTATTTTGAGAGATTATTTGCTGATTTTTGGTAGTCATCCTAATTTCAAGTGTTTATAGTTTAGCTGTAGCTCTGAACCCCACATTTTTTTAATATTCTCTGTATTATTAAATAAAAGTAAAATCTAACTCTGTATTGTGTAGAATACAGTCAAGTCAATGTAAATTCTTACCCTGTTTTTTCTAAATAATTTGTATGTGAAGTAAAAAGACTGGTAACCTGTAGTATTAAACGTATAACTTTTTAAAGCACATTTTCACACCAAACTTTAATTTGCATTTTCTTTTCCTGTTATTTTTATAAGATTTTGAAGAGCCTTTAATTGCTTGATAGTACATTAATATGAACTTATATTTTTTCATACTATACATGGGAATTTTAATTTGTTGCTTTTGGAGACAGTCAAAGATATCACTGAAATAGAGTGCTCAATGATAAACCAAAGTTTTGTTTTCTAAACATTTTTTGAGTTTAAATCTCAATTTCAGACTTTTGTACAGAATTTTCACTTTAATGTGAAATTGGCCAAGCCTACTGCTTCTGATTTCTCCTCTTAGGGCATTTGACACTCTGGCGAAAGCATTGACTCCTGGAGAGAGCACAGCCTGTCAGAACTCAGAGGGCATGGAAGGAAGTGTCCACCTCATTGCTGGAGATGCAAGCATAAATTACATCGAAAAAGAAGGACCACTTCTCAGCGAGTCACATGTAGCTTTCAGGGTATTTCCTGTGTATATTTTTAATTTTTATATCTTGTTACTATCTAGTTTGATTTCAGACTTCATTTCAGAAATGAAAGTGTATTCATTGTGCTTTAAAAGTCAGAAATATCCCTAATAGAATTTCAAGGCAGCAGCTATAAATTATATATATCTGGCTATATAAAATAATGCTTCAATAAAGCATTATATTTATAACCTTAAATTATAGTAGCAAACAATAGGTTTAAGTTTATAAATGTTCACGTTTAGAACATTTAAACATAGTTTTTTGGTTTTAACTTTAAGTATTGACATTTGGGATGACTGGAATGCACTGCTTTTGTTCAGTGTTGAGCTACTGCTTTACTGTAAACCAGAGTCTGCCACTACCTCTGCCATCGAGTTGATTAAAACTCACAGCAACTCTAGAGGACAAAGTAGAACTGCTCCATAGTCACAGAAGCTGACTGCCTGATCTTTCTCCCACAGAGTAACTGGTGGGTTCCAACTGCCAACCTTTTGGTTAGCAGGTGAATGCTTAACCACTGAGGCACTAGAGTTCCTTAAACCAATGTCTAAGACCAAGATATTTTGCTCTTATTATGGTAACTACAAAAAACTCATGTTGTTATGTATCACTGTAATTAGCTAGCTCTCACGATTACTCTAAGAGGGTAGAAATTATTTAATACATTTTAGCTTATAGTTTTTAACTTTTTGTACTTTTTAACCACTTTGGAGAAGGTATGTTTGTAATTTTTTTGCCCCCTAGATATATTCGTTTATGATGGAGACAATACGTGTTGAATACTATAGTTGTTGTTGTTATGTGCTCTCAAGTCGGACCTGTCTCATAGCGACCCCTCCTTGGGTTTCCGAGGCAGTATCGCTACAGAAGTAGATTGCCCCATCTGCCCTCCAAGGAGTGGCTGGTGGGTTTGAACCGCCAGCCTTCTGGTTTGCAGTCAAGTGCTTTAGGCACTATGCTACCAGAGCTCCCGAATACTACAGAGTGGTTGTTTAATCATCCAAATAATGTTTGGACCAGAGCTATGTATGTACTGACCATTGAAGGGCTAGGTTAAGACCTTGCTGTTTTGGTACCTCAGTTTAACCATTTTGTATCTTTGCTCTGTCATCTATGAGCACTGTTAGCAAGCTGTATGTGAAGTGATTGAAAGTACATAGAAGGTTTCAATTAACAATACAAAGCAATCCTGCAATACCTAAGTGTAATTGCTCCTAATTTTACTTATAGATTATAATTTTCCAAAGATATGTGTGTGTGTGTGTAAATACAAACAGCATCAAATGCATATGTGTCATACTGGTAGAAATAATGAACACAAAATAAGTCTAACATTGGCCAGAATTACATATGGTAAAATTTGTATAATTTGACCTGGTTGAAATAGTCACAGAGAAAATTTACAATAACTTACATCATAATTGCTATTATTTAGTATAGTTAATAAAACATATCAGTGAAACTAATCTTCATGTAAAACTTTACCAAGCAAAGATAACTCATAAGCAAAAGGTTAGAGATATTTGCACCATATGTTGCTGTTATGTTGTTAAGTGCCGTAAAGTCGTTTCCAACTCATAGCGACCCCATGCACAGCAGAACAAAACACTGCCCGATCCCGCGCCAGCCCCACAAACCCTGCTATACTTGAGCCCATCATTGCAGCCACCATGTCAATCCATCTCATTGAAGGCCTCCCCCTCTTTTGTCAACCCTCCACCCTACCAAGCATGACATCCTTCTCCAGGGAATGGTCCCTTGTGACAACGTGACCAAAATAGGTGAGACGAAGTCTGGCCATTCT